TTGTATATTCTATAAGCTTGACCTTTGGACGAGTAACCCAAGAAGATAGCAGAATCTGATTTGGCATCAAATTTGCCTAGATTGTCTCTAGTATTGAGAACAAAGCATGGACAACCAAAAGGATAAAAGTAAGCAATGCTAGGAGTTTTTTCTTTCAATATCTCATAGGGAGTTTTGTTAATTTTCTTACGAACTAAAAGACACGATTGATAGTGTAGCATGCTGTGTTAACAGCTTCAGCCCAGAAGTGTTTAGGAAGATTGTAGTCAAGTAACATGGTTCTAGCACACTCTATAAGGGTTCTGTTTTTTCTTTCTACTACTCCATTCTGTTGAGGGGTACGAGGGGCAGAGAACGTGTGTTTTATTCCAAAATCATCACAAAGGTTTTCAAATGATTCTGAAATAAACTCTCCACCATTGTCACTCCTGATGTTTTTGATATTGAAGTTCTGAGAGGTAAGAAACAGTTTGAACTTCTTAGAAGTCTCATCTTTGTGACTTGTGAGTTAAAAAATACACCCATGAGAACCTAGAGAAATCGTCTACTAATACAAAAACATAGTTCTTCCCTCCTAGACTAGTAACATTCCATGGACCAAACAGATCCATGTGAATAAGTTCATAAGGGCTGGTAGAGGTAATATCAGGCTTGATTTTAAAACTCTTTCGTTTATGTTTTCCAGCAGCACATGCATTACAGAAGAACTCAGCTTTATCTCTAAGTTTGGGAATACCTCTAGCTAGACTCAGTTTAGACAGAGTGGCAAGTTTTCCAAGGCTGACATGACCTAGTTTTTTATGCCACAGGAACTCAGGAGAAATGGATGAGGCAGCAAAACAGGTCTCGTTAAACATGCTAAGATCTGAAAGATCCACAATATACATGTTGCCGACCCTTTTTCCCACAAAAATTATTTTGTTTTCTTCAGCATTTTCAACTATGCATCTGTTATTTTCAAACACTACTTTATTTCCATTACTGCATAATTGACTAATGGATAATAGGTTGTGTTTTAAACCTTCAACCAGAAGCACGTTTTTAATAACTGGTTTTGGACTCTTACCTATGCATCCAGAACCAACTATGGTGCCCTGATTATCATCCCCAAATGTTACTTTTCCCCCACGTTTCAAATTTAAAGAATTGAAGAGATGCTTCTTACCAGACATGTGGTGGGAACACCCACTGTCTAAGTACCATTGAGTTTCAGCAGTTGGTGGGCAGTGTGGTTGACTAGTCTGAAGAGTGATTTCTGCTTCTTCAGGGTTTTGGACGAGTGCCATGTATGCTTCTGCATCTTCAGTAACTTCCTCTGAGTCAGACTCGTAGTCACTCCAAGAAGCCTTCATTGCCTTCTCTTTAGCCTTTAGGGTCAGAGGGCAGTTAGCTCGAATGTGGCCAGGCTTGCCACATTTGTAGCAGTCTTGAATCTCTCTGTCCTGATTACCTGCACTGTTAACTCTGGTCTGCGAGTGTCGCAGCCTATCTTGAGAGAAACTCTTGGATTTGTCAGAGTAACTAGAATTACCATGCTGATAATATCTATCACTACCTCTTTGTTTGCGATCATTTTTTAGCTTGAGCATTCTATGGAATTTACTGCTAATCAAAGCGAATTCCCTATCAAAATCACTTCCAAGTTCACTTTCTGAGTCATAGTCTACAACTTGAGATTTAAAGGCTAGGGATTTTTTTCTTTTCTCATCTTCTTTGCTAACCTGTTGCATTACATGCTCATGACTCATCAAAGACCCTATGAGTTCATTAACAGGCAATAAGCTTAGATTTCGAGCTTCTTCAATAGCTGTTCTCTTAGGCAACCATTCCTTAGGTAGAGACCTTAGGATTTTTCTGTTTAGATCTTTTGACTCAAACGACTTCCCTAATCCTTTCAATTTGTTGATCAAAATAGTGAATCGAGAAAACATTTCATGAATACTCTCACCTGGGTTCATGATGAAACTTTCATAGTCGTGGACCAGAAGATCAATCCGTGACTCTTTGATGTTCGACGATCCCTCGTAGGTATTCTCGAGCGAGACCCATATATCATGAGCAGATTCGCAGTTTTCCACCATGTCGGCTTCGTCAGAGGCCATTGCCGATTGAAGAATGTGCATGGCTCTTCGATTGAGCTGAGCACTCTTCTTTTGCGCGGCGGACCAGAGATGCTGTTCTTCCGGTGCCATCTGGATTGGTCCATCGCGAACCACGATCCACAACTCTTCGTCTACCCCCCCAGAGAAATGTCGGCATCCTCTTCTTCCAGGCGGTGTAGTTTGATCCCGTGAACATCGGAGGGTGATTATACGAGGCGTGACCGAAGCTGGTGGTCGCCATTTCGACTGGATCTTCCCTTGGCAGCGATGAGCTCGATCAAGGACCAGGCGCTCTGATACCACTTGTGAAAATGGCGGAGCTGGCTTCGATTAGGGATTGGGATTGTCGAATTGGGAATTTTGGAAGGAAGAGATCGACAGGAGGCTAAGTCGATCTCCTTTGCAATGGAAATGGGCCCGAGACCAGTTAGGCCCACAACTTAACTAAAGGAGGAAGCTGGACCAAAGCCTTCCTCTCCGGCCCAAGGTTTCTGATCGAACAGGAATGAAGAATACTCTTCTTCTTCCCTGACTCAACCCAGAACACGAACAGAGCACTGCAGAACAGAGAACTGCAGCGCTAGCAAGAAGAAGAGCAGCAGAAATTAAATGTACACAGCGGGATTTTTAACGAGGTTCGCCACTGGGCTACTCCTCGTCCCGGAATAGTACCCACTATTCCGAGAGACACTTTTGATTTTCTTTGACTCTGAAGAAAAGAAGAGAACGAAGAGATTACAGCAAATGTGAAAATCAAAAGGCACGGCTCATGACCCGAATTCGCGTAGGAATTCGTTACAACCTTTGATCAAACTGATCCTATACCTCAGTTAGATCAAAGCCACTGTTTCCCCAATTCTCAGCCCTATACCACAGAGAATTCCCCCAAAACAGTCGACCCACTAGATCAGAAGAGAAAGAGTATAAATAGTCTTCTTGCTGGGTCGTTGCTGGGTAGCCGTTGTGATTTGAATGGTTGAGCGAGTTGATTGGAGAGGCTCCCCCTTGATTGATGCACTGATTTTGATCTTCTTTCCATCTTTTGTTTCAATCCAATCTGTCAACTTGATCCGATATGATTCTTAGTCTAACAGTAATTTCCCCACTAATATTTCCTCCACCTAAAAATTTTCTTCCCTTGAAGTTTTCCTCCCATCCTCTTAATAGTGACAGTTATTAATAAGAGACCATGAGCACCTAAAAATTTTCTTCCCTTGAAGTTTTCCTCCCATCCTCTGAATAGTGACAGTTATTAATAAGAGACCATGAGCACATCTACTATGTTATAAAGAATTGGTGCTTTAATGTACAACTAGAAGTTGTACCATAACGTTAAATGTATATAAGTTCAAGTTGTACCATAAAGAAATTTGTACCATTATGTTATGGTACAACTTCACAACTTGAAGTTGTACCATCATATAAATGTAAGAGTTCAAAGAATTTGTACAAAAAGTATAGGTATAATCTGAAGTTGTACCATAATGTTAAATGTATAAATTAAAATCGTACCATAAAAGCAAAAACCTATAGCACCAATAATAAAGAGCATTGTAAAATTACTCAAAAGACCGTTGCTTAAAGTGACGACTAAGTGTATCCATAGCATTATTTGAAATAACAAGTGATTCCAATATTAATAAAATTAAAACCTAGCCTACATAAGTGTTTAGTTACATATTTATACTTCTCATGAGTATTAAACATCTTATTTGAAATAACAAGTGATTCCAATATTAAAAAAATTAAAACCTAGCCTACATAAGTGTTTAGTTACATATTTATACTTCTCATGAGTATTAAACATCTTCCCTTACAGGAGGGTGAAAACAAGCTATAAATAATCACCGTCCGTCAACAATGGATTTCTCTGACCCCTCATATGCAATAGGGTTAGCTTCATGTTGAGGCATGGTGGAAGAACCAAGGTTAAATGAGCATGTACCAATTACCAGAACTGACCACACACACATATATATATATATATATATATATATATATATATATATATATATATATATATATATATATATATTATGCTCCTGACGCATAGCATGCGACAGATTTTCTACACCAATGATTTAATCTGATGGCTTGTATTAAATATAATAAAATTAGCTATTATTTAAAAATTAAAATATTTTAGTTGATTCTTTTACATTTTCATAGGTTCACTTTAATCCCCCAACAAATTATTTCCTTTATTTTTATTGTACGGTACCTAATTTCTTTTAATCATAACTTAAACATCCAAAAAATTTCCATCAAAACAAAAACATCCCAAAACTTGATATCATTATTTCAAATCTCTAACAGGCTCTCGTACGAAAAAAACATCTCAAACAAACTGTGGCATTCAACATCGAACTTCCCCACCCAAACACCATACCCATAAGAAAACAAATCCAGAACCCATCTTCGAACCCTCTCCTCTCTCGTTCACCCATCGTTGAACCCGCCGTTTACCCCCGCCCCGGTCACCCCTTCCACGCCTACCTCGATTACGCCGTCTACCCCTAATCCGCACATCTCCGTCCTCCCGCTCGACGCCGTCATCTTCCGGCGGTTCGACGCTGAACTCCTCCTCCAAATCGTCGTCATCGACCGGAACGGTGGTCGGGATTGCAATTGGAGGTGTATTTGGCGACAATGGAGTCGGTTGCTTAGCTCCTCCGCTGCCGCCATCTTCCGGCGGTCCGACGCCGAACTCTTCTTCTCCTTCCTCCAACTCGTCGATATCGACCGGAACGGTGGTCGGGATTGCAATCGGAGGTGTATTTGGCGACAATGGATCCAGTTGCTTAGCTCCTCCGGCGCCTCCTGGCCCGAAAGGTTTGATTTTTCCCAATCTTTTCCCCTCTCTCCTGAATTCCAGAAGAAATTTCTCGGCTTTGGGGGGCTAATAAGCTGAAACAATGGTATGCTAATGATGGCAAAAGTATAACTTCAATTTCTATTTCCAGGGAATGGTCTTGTGCAGGAAGGATTGATGTTGTGAAGACTATCTCTCAAATCAAAGATGAGAAGCTTGGGACTTCCGGAAAACCAGGTTGGATTTGTGTCAATGGAGCTGTGATATACATAAAGGCGGATAATTTTTACTATACATCTTGCATTGGGGACGGACAATGCAACAAAAAGGTTACAAAAAATGGAGATGGGAGGTGGTGGTGTGACCTGTGTGATCAGTCTGTTGATGAATGTGATCATAGGTACATACTCTCGCTTCATATAGAAGATCACACGGGCTTAACATGGGTAACTGCTTTCCACGAATCAGGCGAGGAGCTTATGGGAATGTCCGCTAAAGAACTTCATTTTATGAAGTTTGAGAACAAGACGACGACGGGTTTCTAAAAGTTCTTCGTCAAAGTTATGTTTACCAATATATATTCAAGTTGAAAGTGGAAGAGGAAACATTCAGTGATGAGCATGTCTAGTGTTGTTCAAGGCAGAGATGATGAACCACGAATCCCTATCCCAAATCCTTTTGGATTTGATGGAAAACTTCAAATCTGGGAACCTGACTGTTTCAGCGGTAGAAAATGGTTACACAAAATTATGTGTTGATTACTCCTAGAAAGGAGAATTTTGGAAGTGGGCAGACTGGATTGAGTTCAATGGGCTTGCCAGCTAATCAAGTCAATCAGTACATTAACCAAGATAACTCGAGGTTTCCTACATCGACTGTATCTGGGGGACCAATAAGATGTAACAGCTGTGGAGCCACAGGCCATATAGCTACAAACTACCCTACCATAAAGAAGCAAAGATTTTAACCATAAAGTCTACAAAAAAAATCTTCTTCAGTTAGCAGTTCTTCAATCAAATTTCCAAACCTATGAACAAGCCACGCAAAGCTCCAATGCCGTCTTTAGACACCCATCTACAAGAACAAAAGAATCTCATGTTTAAAAAATTATATACCAGACTCTTATTTGCAGAAGCTGCGTAGACCATAGATTCACCTAATTGCAGCAGCTCTAGCAGCAGCAACAGTTCCTTTAGCGTAGCCAACACCCACACCCTGCAGAATTTCATTCGAAGTAGTTAATATAATAAGTACAGACAAACATTGGACCCAAAGTTATGCCAGTCAGGATACAATCGAAGCTACAATAGGATTAAAAACGAAAAACTAGTGGGTAAGGAGTTTTGATTCCTAGAAACATACCCCAAGGAAAGTTAACTGCTTGAGTTAGATTCACATCCCTTAAGAAGACGTGCCGTGATTGATGCGTAGCACATCCATCCAGTGACATTGGTGTAGAATTGTAACAACATGTACTCCAAATAATCCTCTGAAACTGATCCTAGAATTACAGGATGAAGCATATTAGTGTCCGAGGAAATTGACAGGTTGGAAGGAACTCTTTCTTTTTGCTGAAAGTGTAATTTACTGAACATGATTACAACAACGAAGCAAAGCTAAAAACTAGTTACTTATATTGAGGGCAAGCAATTAGTTTCTCATTGTGTCTTATGTTATGTCTCCCCCAGCATTTGTCCAAAGCCACATATAAAGTTCCCACAGCAGGCACACCCAAATCCAAAATGGACACCTAACCTATGAAACTGTATGCCACTACGTTAATCCATGAATGCATTTTTTGTTCAAGACTTTTTAATAAAAACAGAATTCTCTAACAAGTGGGTACAAGCAACCTGCCTTGAGAAAGTATAAAGTTCATTTGGACGCTACCATATAATACACATACAATGAACCCAGTAGATGACAGACCAACAAGCCAAAAAAACTGACTTTAAGATTTGAGTTCCATCAAACTGAGAGTGCAGAGGGATGAAAGAGGAGTACCATTCCAGTATGCGTATGAACCGAATGGATCGTTCTATTGGAACCGGGCAACATCATCTTGGAAGCTATGAGCTTCTCCACACCCTAAAATTTGAACTAATACACGTAAACAATAAATACCCAGCGAATTCTAGTGAAGCCACTGAACAAAAACCAAGAAACTTGAAACAGAGGGCCAAAAGAAAATTGGAAGAAGTGTACATTTACCATGGCTTCAAGAACTTCAAAGTGCATGTCCATATCAGGGGCCCTGTCAGCGAAGTAAAGCTTCTGACGAACCAGTAACTACCCCTGTAACAGCACTCCTCCCAGCCTCAATTTCCAGCAGATACATCAGTTCATCCTTCTCCTAATCTAATTTGTTTTCCCGGATTAGACAACAAATTAAATTAGAAGAACTAAGACAAACAAAGAAACGAAAAGAAAAATAGAATAGCAACTACCTGCGAGCTGTATGACGAATCAATGATGCTGACAACGGGAGACGGGGAAACCGAATTCACATGCGCGGAAATGTGATAGTTCCTGCTATCAGGTACCGAACTGTCAATCACCACTACCCAAACCATAGATCTCGTCCTCGATCTCCTCGTCCTCATCACCATGCACATCGAGCGCCTCGATGGGAACTGGGAAGCGTTGAAAGGAGGCCGTAAAATATTTTGGCGGAAACGAAATACAGTTTTCCGAAAAAAAAAGAGGGAAATTTAACTTTTTAAAAATTTATCTCCCGCTATTATTCTCAAATGCAGCGGGAATACTAGAGGGAATTTATTTTAACTTGATGCATTCAATTTCGTTTCCATTCGTATGGTATGTAAATTATATCTAGTATATAGTATCCTATAAATTTATAATTGCCTTTTAAATTATTATTTACACATTTGTCACGATTGTTTCTACAGATCGGGAAATCGGAAGGTCGAAGACCCCGGTGACTTCAAGTCGTAGCTAGATAATCCGATTCAAGGCATACTCATGTCAACAACAATTTTATCACATATTCAAGTTATATAGTAAATAGTATCTGGTCAATACTACATCAACTAAAAAACATAATTTCTTCCAAGAAGATTGAAGCGATACGGATGTCGAGTGGGGTGGTGCATGCGTAAATCCCTTCCAAGAGGAGTGAAACAAAAAGTGAGCTAACAATTCAATATTAACAATTACTTTTCATCGATGGATTAAACAACATGATTTTGGTATAAAAAAAACTTGATGGACAATCTGCTCACCCATTACTAATTTACTATGATCACTTGTTAGAAAGTATGTATCAACAATTGCTTTGGTACATTTATAGAACCATTGTGACTTGTGCTATTTGATTTAGTTAGTAGTTCGCATTAAGTTTCGTCAATAAATAAGATCGATCTCACTCTAACACGAATACACAATTTAACTTAAGAATACCTCAATCGAAATTGGACCTTTCATAGTTTTGCTTGACTTTGTGATACTCGACATTAACAGGGATGAATCTCATAGAAACCTTTTATATGTTAGAACCAATACATGGTTTGTCAAATGTAAATTACAGATACATATAAGGAAATGTTTAAGATTACTCTAATGGATTTTCCAAATGGAAGTAGTGAATAATTCAACTGCACAAAGCATAAAACTTGTGCGTCCACGCTAAAAGCTACATTTTACAGGGCGGGTTTCTATTATTCGTTCCAAAATGAACAACATTTGTCTCCTACATGGAAGATCCTCTCATGAGACAAGTAATAAAACCAAGTTAGGAATGAAAATCCATTATATACCATCTCAAGACCATAACTTGTTCATATTGTAATATGTCTATTTTACTTGTAACGTTATTTATTATTTTGGTGTGATATGCTTCAGGGAAAACAAGATACAATAAAAATAAATGTCAAATATAGACTCCGAGTCAATCATAAATACCTTTACTACTCCTACTCACATAGCTTTTTGTCCAAACAAGATAGTTTATTTCATACTACAAACTTCTAGCAACACAATCACGATTCTTAGTTTAGTTACACTCACATGATTCTTAGTTTAGTTACATTCACCTAATAACAGGAAAATGATAAACTCCTAGTGAATGCAGTCATATATTATACATTATGTGTACTATAGCTCTTGTCATGTGCATTTATAAAACACAAAGAGATTTAGAATCCTTCCTATTCAAGCATATATGTACCATAGTTAAAGAACCAATCATGAACAAATGCATGTACATCCTCCAAAAACTAAAAACTATCAGAACCAAATCATTCAACACTAATTACAAGAAAAAAAAATCAAACATAATGGGGATGAAGATGGTCGAGTACAAACCTTTTTAGTTTTAGGCTTTAATTACAAGTCATTAATGGATGTATGTATAATGTATGGATAAAGGTCTATGTATCAGGAATTACAGTTGTTATTCCAGCCGAGATGGTGAAAGTTGTCGTATGTAGTCGACAGGTCCGTTGTTCAATACCTTGTATATAAATCACTTTATTTTTTCCCCCAGCCCGACCCTTTCCTTTGATCAGCTCCGCCTACAGATACGTCGTCATTTAGCCGGTCACCCTCGATTCAGTAGGGAACACAAAACATCGTCGTTTGGCGTGCCTCTTCTTCTTCCCGAATCTCCCTGTGCATTTTCGATTCTCAACGCCGGCCACGAGCGTATCAACACCGTCTCCTTCTCTAGCAACCCCACGTAACATCCTAATCGCCGCCATCGCCACCGTAATCCCACTGCTATCTCCAGCGTTTTATTTCTTTTCCGGCAACCCCATACCATCCCAATCACCGACCTCCCCGTAATTCCACCACCATCTCTCTTCTCCGGCAACCCCATGTCCGGTAGGGATCCACATCTCCGCTAAATCTCCTTCCTCACTGCAAGATCCTGAATAATCAACGAACCAATCATTTTCCTCTCTCCAGTCAAGCACGTTGAACCCCACCGCCGCCCGGATCGACTTCCACCCTAGGGATAAATCCTGACTAACTGAACCTCCTATCCGCCGGAGCTCGGATCCCGCAACCATCAACAAATTCACAAGCATTCTCTCACTGTAATTGATCGCAACAAGCCCAACTCATCATGTGATCCAACCCTGGGAATTTCAAACTCAAAGCCGTAGGATTCAACCGGCGTGGGTTTATGCGGGAATCGTTGAGAATCGAAGCTGCATTCGATGGCCTTTCACGATGACGATGGGGTAGGTATTGGGGTAGCTTGGATGATGACAACAACCACTAATGAGAACGGCTCTTCCGATTATCAGGTTAGGTATTCTGGGTTTTGACTGATAACAATGCATCACCGATGATTCAAGGGAAAAGGGGAAGACTCACAGGCTCACAGCTGATGTTTACATAATATATTTTGATTACTTTTTAGGGGTTGCTGGTGTTTTGATGATGAATGTTAAATTAGGATAATGGGTTCACTAGGTTCCCTTGATGACGATGGTGCAATTAGGGGTATGAGGGAATTGTGGAATTGTGGCACATTTTAATGTACCTTTGTTATATCAATTATATAATTTTTGGGTGTTCA